ATATGAACTGTTTTCTTCATGAATCGATGTTGTGGGGGGATCTAAACGTCCGTATGTCACACTTTGATGCTTCTCAGTATTCAGCACTCAGAATCGGAACTAAGGAACTTCAGGTCTGGCGGTGACCATAATAAGGTTAAATCCACTGTTGATGAAAGCTATCTCCAAATTAGACTAATGTCACTCAGCCACTCATAGATATTAGCTCAAGATCACTAAAGTCAATCAATGATACTCCTTATTCTAGGCGAATTACTTCATGTACGCTGATATACTCATTTGTACAAGATAATGTAGTTATTCAGTATTTATATGACTTCGTTTAGCAAATGAGAGTTGTTGATTTATACAAGTGATTTTCCACTACTTATATCATCTATAAAAATTTGTCATACAGTACTCATCGTTCCATCTAAGCTGAACTAATATTAGACTTTTATTCTGGATTGATTTTGATGTAACGTATTTTTTAAAGATTGTTGTAATCGATCTACAACTGATTATCTCGGTTGATCAGATTATTATTTCATTATTTTATAAATTTTTATCAATTTCTTTTGTATGCATTGTATCATAGTTTTATTTCATTATTGTAGTGTTTTACGCTTTATTTAAACAAGACCAACAGTATTTGAGACTAATTCACTTGGTATTGTTTTACTTGTATCTTCCCATTGTTATTTCGGGCTGCAATTGATCAGTCTCTTATTGGTATATGTGCATACTGTGCGTATTGCCTCGATTTTGCCTTAATTTACAAGCATTATAAGCAATGCTGGATAGTGGCTAGCAGTGAAATCCAGGACGCACATTTCGTCCTATTTCAGACGCGTCAGCTGTATGTACCTGAATCTCAAAGTTGATGTTCACTCTGAGACTCGAATCCAGTACCGTTCGCTTCAGACGCCATCGCGTTATCCACTTAGCTACTGAGTCCTGATAGCCACTTGCTTATAATATTTGAGACTGTTCATTATTTTATTAGAGATTTATTCATAAACAATAAATAACACATAATAAGGACAAAAATTTTAAGGGCGGAATAACAAGTTATGACATTGAAATGAAACATCATGTTTTTTATATATTTCACTTAGAACCGTTCTTTTGTGTCTTTTTTCTTTCTTTTCATTTAAATCTATAGTTAAACTCAAATGAAACAAAAAATATTTTTAGGCTTATAGGAATGTATCAAATAAGATTAACTAATTTATTATGTCACGAATAGTTCAAATAGATAGTATATTGTTTAATTCTAATTTATAAAAGGCTTTGTTTTTTTGTTTGTTTGATATTTTAATGTTAGGTAAATTTAAAATTAACAATAATATTGATAAACATTTCATAAATAGTTTATTTTCAGAAAAGGGTTTTGTGAAGGTTAAGCATTCATGTGCGAGACTTCTATGTTTTGGGTTTGAATCCCGCGAGGTTGGATCGTGGATACGCACTATTGAGAAGTCTTATACTATGAAGAAACAGCCGTCTAGTGCTTCTAGGCTTTTCATGGTGGTCTGGCTTTAATCAACTCATGAATTCAATTATTAAATAATTTTTTTTTATATAGTTTAAATCAGTATAGGCATTTGTTCATTAATGGTTAATTTTCAGATGAATCTTGAATTCCGTGTAAGAATTCTTGACCTGTTAATTTTCAGCTGTGTTGAGAGTAGGATAGTATCTTTGATGATTCTACACAATATAAGGAGTTTACAGAAGTTGTGAATGCAGACGATTAACTTTTGACTTCTTGGTTGTGTGACTTGAAGGTATTGGGTTACATTCTTACATAGGTTATAGGTATGGTGTGTTAAGGACTTTATGATCGTTTAGTGTCTCATCGACTAATGTCAGTTTGTGTCGAGAACTGCTTACAAATATGTATATATAGTTGGAACAATGAGTCAATCGAAGCTAGATCACCATTGAAAATCTGGAAACACTAGACAGCTGTTTGGTCCTAGTATGGAACTCCTAAGCAGTGCGCATCCATGACCCAGGATGCTGGACTCGAACTCAGGATTTTCTGTCTTCTGTGCTAACGCCTAACCTCTAGACCACTGAGTCGGCAATCCAAGGATGTTATTTTTCAACTTTAATTAATCGTCATTTCAACTATAAGAGTATTAAAATGTTTACGAATACCCATACTGATAATGATCATGTGCTTACCAGTGACTAGTTTCAATATGTAACTTCTGGAGTTTAGTGAAAAGCCTTGACCAGTGAAGTTTAATCCGTGTCAGGTTTGAGACACTAAACCGCCTCAGACATTGGATAAAGGGTTGCGCAAGATCATGGATTGATTGAAATTGAACATTAACACCATTGGATGCTAACTCAAGGGTCTAGAGGTTAAACGTTGGTGTGAGACTGAGCGTCATGGATTTGAGTCACTCGTAGTTGATCGTGGGTGCTCACTGCTAAGATGTCTCATACCAGGATGAGACTCCCGTCCAGTGCTTCCAGGTTCTCAATGGTGGTTTAGCTTGGATCGACTCGGCATTTGAACTGCGAAAATACTACAATCTCCACAAATACCCATTACTCAGTTACTTACGCCTGTTATCCTTCATAGAGAAACATGGGCCACCCACTAGCATTCTCCATACAACACTGGCCAGACCAATCCTTTCCACTTGTTTCCAGCTGTTATTCATCCTTTTCATATCTGCTAACAATTATCCACGCTGTGTATTCTACAATCTAACTCATTCGCGTTTCCCTTCAGGGCTCCAAGTAAGCGCTCGCTTCGTGATACAATCTGATGATTTCCTCAATGTATGTCCTATCCACTTCCAACCTCATTTCCTAATTTCCTCTTCATCTCGAAGCTGCTTTGTTCTCTCTCATAGTAAGCTGTTACTAATAGTATCTAGCCAACGAACATTGAGTATCTTACATAGACAACTGTTTATAAATACTTTTATATTTTGATGATGGTTGTGGTAGTTCTGCAAGTTTCAGCTCCATACAGTAGAACTATCTTGAAGTTCGTATTGAAGATTGTGACTTTGATATTGGTTTTCAGACAGTTGTTTTGAGTTCCATGTGTTCTTCAACTGTAGAAATGCCGCCCAAGTGTGATTGGGTTGGTGTTCTCCGTGTTGTATTTGACGATCCTGCTCTTCCCTTGTGTATGTTTTAATGCATCTATCTATTTTTATTTTTAGTTCTACAATCATTATTCTTAAAATTGTCAACGCTGATTACACTAATAATACCTCATATTTAAATGTTTACTTACTTGAAGTTAAAATCTCAGAAAACTGTAGGTTAATAAATTTCTCCACAATTATCATGTCACAAATATCTTATTCATACAGTTTCGAATGTGATTGATTATTCCTATCTACTGTTTAGACACTGGAATTAGTATTTCTATTAATTACATTCTATCATGTCTCTGGAGACTTTACAGTATTTATGTCATCTTATCTAACAATATTGTATATTCATCATTCTACATTTTTAAAATAATGAATACACAATAGTATTAATAAATAAGACCTTTCGCCTAAATTTGATCGAATAGTTTCACAGTATTTGGGCGTCGAGACATTAAAGAGGAATAATGTATTTGTAAAATCTCAGCGATAATTTTAATGTTTGTTTATACTTCCTTGAAAAAACGTGGACCAGATTACCAGACAAAACGTTTGATTTACTTCAAATTCATCCGATAAGATTTTACAAATACATTCTTGCTCTTTAATATCTCAATAGAATTAACGTTTATAAATTACTTTGTATAATTCATAATTGAATGTATACTTCAAAGTAGCGCTTATTCATTCTTTTATAATTATTATTTGTAATTATTGAAACTGTACAAAGTTTATTAAACAAAGATGAACTTAAGGCTATATCGAGCAATCCGCACAGTATGCACATATGCCAATAAATGACTGCTCAATTTAAGTCCTAAAAATCAATGAGAAAATTCAAGTAAACAATACTAAGTGAATTTATACTTCACACCATTGCACAAATAGGTGGCTATCGGGACTCTGTAGCTAACAGGATAACGCGATAGCGTTTAAAGCGAACGGTACTGGGTTCGAGTCTCAGAGTGAACATCAATTCTGAGTTACATCCAACTGGCAAGTCCCAAAAGGGACGAAACGCGCTCCAAACTTGATTCCACTACTAGCCACTATCCATCTTTGCTTAGAACGCTTGTGACTTAAGGCTATATCGAGTCAATCCACACAGGATGCATATATGTCAACAAGTGACTGATCATTTACAGTCCTACATAACAATGGGAATATACAAGTAAAACAACACCAAGTGAATTTGTACAAAGTTTAATTATGAATAAATTTTAATGTTTACATTTTTATTTATTTATTATTTATACCATTACATATTAGACAAGTAAAATAAAAGCAAACTATACAAAATGGTCATGTTTTGTAGGGAATTAAAACGAGGATATTTCAACTATTAAGCAAATTCAACAAAATCACATTGGATAAAACTTATCATAAAAGTTATCTTTCTATAAGAAAAAAAAAATGCAAAAAGTAATAAACTATGTCATTTCATTGTTTAATTTTATCATTGGGGATTGGTTATTTGATTAGTGATTATATTAGTTACTATATGAATTATTAAAATCTATCTAGTTTATTATTTCAAAAAGGATCATTGATTTGTAATATCTCTATTTATCTGTTATTTGGATTGGTTAATAATGAGATCTGTTTTATCCAAATCTTACAAAATAATACTTAATATGAAATTTAATAAAGTATAGACTAAGCCTATATCATTGAACGAAAGAGATAAATAAATAATTAGATTGATGTTTTGGTCAGTTGTGAACTACATTATAACTGTGATCTGTTTGATATTGCGTTTAATTTTTGCGTGATCAGTATGAGACTGCAGTAAATTATTATTATTTTGAATGTTTTTTTTTTGTTTGGACGAAGAAGTTTAGTTTGACAGTAAATTATTAGATGTTTAAGTACTAGGTAGTTGTTTTTTTCTAGACTTAATACATCTCAATAGCGATACATCTCTTTCTTGGAATGAACTGAAAAAATATATCTAGAAGAATTCGTTCGGCAGTCGCTATTTTCTTTATTTTTTGTTAACAGTGGATGCAATTAGACGATGCACTAGCCCTTCCATCCCATTCACACGAGCAAATAGAGGTCAAGACAACCAGTGTAGCAGTAGCCTCTGCATTAGTAGGCCTAAACGTAATCAAGAGAAAAAGCAAGATATTGAAATGCAGCGTGGAGAACACCAACCCAATCACACTTAATGAAGAAACTCTAGAACAGATGGAAAGCTTTATGTATCTGGTCAGCATTATCAACGAACAAGGAGAATCCAATGCAGATGTGAAGACAAGGATTGGCAAGACATGAATGCCATTCCTACACTTCAAGAACATATGGAACTCAAAACAATGTCTGAAAACCAACATCAAAGTCACAATCTTCAATACGAACTTCAAGATAGTTCTACTGTATGGAGCTGAAACTTGCAGAACTACCACAACCATCATCGAAAATATAAAAGTATTTATAAACAGTTGTCTACGTAAGATACTCAATGTTCGTTGGCTAGATACTGTTAGTAACAGCTTACTATGTGAGAGAATAAACCAGTTTTGAGATGAAGAGGAAATTAGGAAATGAGGTTGGAAGTGGTTAGGACATACATCGCGGAAATCATCAGACTGTATCACGAAGCGAGCGCTTACTTGGAGCCCTGAAGGGAAACGCGAATGAGTTAGATTGTAGAATACACAGCGTGGATAATTGTTAGCAGATATGAAAAGGATGAATAACAGCCGGAAACAAGTGGAAAGGATTAGCCTGGCCAGTGTTGTATGGAGAATGCTGGTGAGCCGCCTATGCTTCTTCGCTGTGAGTAACAGGCGTAATTAATTTTCTTAATAATGAATATAGTATGATGTCATACTAATTCAGATCACTGTAAAGTCTAAGGGAATATGTAACAAAGAAATAGTAAATTATTTACAAATCGAGGGAGAGAAGTAGAAAAAATTATACATTAGTTAAAAAGTATAAAGTAATTTGACTTTGTCACTCAGAACTGTTCATTACTAGTGCAATGAACAGTTACGTAATCGTCGTAAATTAGTTGAAGAGAATTTCACACTTAATGAATATTGAATTCACGTCTTTGATAAGTTTTAGAAATGTAATGATTCCCAAAATTATGAAAATTGTTTCACTAAAGTTGTACAATATCAATGTTAAGGGATAGAAGTTTTTGAAGTGGATTATGAGTCAGACCATACCTTTTTTGTCTGTTTGTCGGTTTGTGAATCATTCATATTTGTCATGTAAAACTTTGATTGCTAATGATACTTAGTTTGCCTATCTTTTAGAGGAAGCGGTTTTCTGAAAATCATTTTAATTTGTTCAAGGTGACCATTAATTATTGATCTCGATTGGGGTTATCATTTAGAACCAAGAAGCATTGGACAACTGTTTTGTCCTCGTATGAGACTCCTCGACATACTAGAAGTTTGATACTATGACGAAATAACTACCTATCTATTATGTGCTTGTTACTGATTTGCTTTGAGATGATTTTCTCAATTTCTGAAGAACTGTTATAAACGGCGGAGTTCAGATGTGTTTAGAATGAAACAGTCCTCATCAATGGTATTGGATAGTCATCTTGGTGTTTTACAAATTGTCTGAACTTGGAAATATATGGTATTGGATTTTACTCAAGTGGTATAAAGGTTTAACATCACTTACAAGGCTCGAATTTCTTGGAATCCATCTCTCAAGGTGCGCTGTTAAGTAGTCACATACTAACATGAAACAGGCACTCGGTCCTCTCTATTTATTTATCTGTTTAGTTATGTACCGACATATTAATAGTACATTTGTATAGTATAGAACAGTAAACAGATATGCAAAAACTTAATCATTAAACTATCCATTTTATTTTCATTTGCAATATATTATTATTATTATTGATGCTTATTACCAAGGTGACAGATGTTTGGTAAAAATGTGCAGGCAATAAATCTTTTTTTTTGTTATCTTCGACTATGTTTCAATGTTTTTCTATCTGCTTTCTTGTTATCACTATAGTAACTGTAACATTTTTCTCACAATACTACTAATAATAGCAACCATATATTTATAGTTGTTGTCGTTGACTTTATCATCCTAACTATTAACAACCAATATTGATTAGTATAGTAACAGTGGCAGTTGACTTAGTTTGAAATGAATATATATCTATGTATATAAATATTTTTTTAAAAAAAGAATTATAGAACACTTCTCAAAAGAATTGATTATTCATAATCTAATCATTATTTTTGTTTTCATTACCTTAAGGTTGAATGAAATTTGAAAGGCAGGGAAGAATTAGTTAGAGAAGTGAGATAAAGATTGGCTTTGTTACAGACAGTAGACAATTTTCATAGTCCTATTCGTATTGATCACATTATTCATTGTTTTAAGCAGTAGTATATATAGGTGTGTAGGTATGTGTGTTTGTACGTTTATACATAGCATTAATTCTATACCAATTTTTACATATAACTATAATTGTTTTAGAGTCTTTTGGGAAAAAAAAACAATGCGACTATTGTTCCTGACCATAAAATTGTAAATGCATTTCCTAACGTAATAATTCCGATTTAAATAAAACAAAAAAAAAAACAAACTAGGATCGTATGATTTTTTCTAGGGTTAAAGTTTCGAATAGGCTTACATTTTGTTTACATACATGGTACACGTGATCGATAGATGTAAGCATTATTTATAGAATTGTTATTATTGATGTTGTTGTTTTAAGTAAACCTAAGTGAAAACAAATGTGTATAGGCAAATATATTTTTATCTTAGTATATTAAATGAGTGAAATACTGAAACCATGTATCATAAACTTATCACTGAAATATGTTATTAGGTATAGATTTTATAGATTTAGGATTGTTGAGATAAACGTCTTTAGTGGTTGATGCGGTTGAGTAATACAGATCATAATTGGTTGTATTGAAATTGGTATAATGACTCTTTACTTCTTCCTGTATCATGACTTTCAACAATTCTCCACTTATACTTTAGCTTCATTCCTTTTATTGAAGCATATGTTCACTGTTCCGTCTTCACGCTATCTTTATTACTATTGTTTTAACTAATTTTCTTCCTAATTTCACCTCGTTTCGCTGATTTGATGTGTCAACTTGTGCTGATACACGTTTATGCCAGTTACTACATTAATTTTGACTGGTTGATTGATTGATTACATGTTGAAGAATGAAAGACAGCTAATAATTTGTGATATTAGAAAATAAAAGATTAAAAAACAGGTTCAGATGATACGGGTATTCAGTTTGATGAACGATAAGTCACATACACTAAGCTTCTGTTTTGTAAGAAAATAAATGATGTAGCTTGTTACATTTCTGGATAATCCCAGGATCAACCAATTTGTACATTAACTTTAGACAACTTATTCACCTCCTTAACTTAAGATTATGTAAAAGAATGAGTCAATTCTTGATAAGGAGATTTATCTGAGCCACTAAAGAAAAATTAATAGTCTATAATAATATAATGTAAATATACTCGAAATGTACTTGGATGAAGAGCAATACAAATACACTTAAATATCAACAAAACAATTAAAAAGTTCTTGTTTTAGGCTGTTCTCGGATGAATGACATCGGGATGAAAAACTTTATTTCTAAACTATGAAGAAATAAATAAATTATGAAATGTATCTTCAACTTGAGATGATTTTGGTAATGTTGGATTCTTCGACCTGGTTTCAGAGCTTTCTATTACTTGATTAAAATTTTTCATACAAGACTAATATAGTTGGAATTCATTTACAATGTGAATGTTTAGTAACATCAGATTTTGTGAATCGTTTACTAACTTATGAAATTATTCTCCAAGAATTTTATTGATCGTAGTTAATGTCATCTTTTTTATGAGTTAATGGATTAGGCAGTTGAGTAGTATCATTAGTCGTTAGGCTTAAATCAATATTGTTTTTTTTATATTTGGTTTCATCTACGTGTTTTTTTTGTTCAAAAAAGTACACCTGAATTTCCTTTTACTCTCCGTATATATGTATAGTGTAATTTACTTATCATATCATCAGTTAGCTTGCTTATTAGACATCTTAGCTGATAGTTAATTTGTAAATATCACATGTGTGAATAAGTGTTGAAATATGAACATTTTCTGAATCTGTTATTTTAGATGCCACGGAAATTTCGATTTTTGTTTGCTGTTATATATAATTTTAGAAGGATAGTAATTTAGTGAATGACTATCACAGTTATTTGTAACTGAAATCCAGTACATTCTCTAATTATTTCTATGGTAACAAATGTTTTTATTGGTTTCCAGGTGATAAATTATATTTTTCTTGTCCTTTATTCTTGATTTTATCCACTTTTCATTTTAGTTTTTTTTTCACATATTGAAAATAAATTTGTTTAACTAAGTGACTAATTGAAATTCTATGAACTCATTTTATTCTATAAGGGTATGTGATTTTATTTCGTTGTTTAATATGTGTAGGTTTAATAACGTGTTCATTGTTTTGTGTATAATAATAAAGATGATATAAGCGGTATTTATGTACAATAATTTGGCATATATTCCTTATTAGATTATGAAGGTGACCGAGTCACTTTGGTCGAAATAATACATCGAATTAAATTAATCTATTAATCACCTAACAACATCCACCTTGAATTGAAAAGATTTCAGTTGGTTGTATAAGTTGATTTTTTATGGTTGGTGTCTTGTAGTTCGTAGGATTAATTTTCAGTTGTTGATCTCAATTGATAGAGCATCTGTGCTATTCATTTTGTAGCAAATTCTAAAACAACAACATATTGACGTTTCATTCTTAGAACATTTTCACAGTCACACTAGACTTTTAACTTTATATATATATTTATTAATTAGAAAGTCCGTTTACTAACCTATAAGTTTTAGATTTACAAATTCAGGATTGTTTAGTTAACTAACTGACGATATTTTGAACTTTGAGTATTAAAATCCCAAACTATATGTTTAGAGATTGAACTAAATGGAATGGAACTGATTGGTAGGTTGATTTCCTTCATTTCTGATGGGAAGTTATTTATCTTTCAATACTGGAATATTTAGTACAATTTAATTCTTATTAAGATCATGAAGTAAACTTTGTGATCTTAACAAGATTCAGCAACCCCCACCACTCCTCCGAACTGTTGATTTTAATTGTTGGTATTGCTTTTTTTCTTCCCAATTTACAGGTCTTCATTCTGTAGCAGATATCTATTGTGATTGTTGTCATACAGTATTAGGTTGGAAATATGAACAAGCTTTTGAATCAGTCAAAAGTATAAAGAAGGAAAGTATATCATAGAATTAGCTCATTTAATTAAAGACAATGGATGGGA